CAGAGGAGGTGCTAGGATGAATTTACCTAGTATAAACAGCTATTCTGTTGAGAACTTCCCTGAGCTCTGCCTGGCAGAGGGATCTGTTTGTGTTGATGCTGGTCATACATAATAAAAGCAAGATTCTTGGTACTGGGCACAGAATAGGAGGGCAGTAAATATTTGTCGGTTAAGTGGCCATGTGGCAGTAGCTTTTCCTCCATTTATTGCCATTTTAACCATGCTCCAAACAGTGAATTTGCTGAAATGATTGTTCCTATTCCATGTATGAAGAATAGTAAGGATGCAGACTTATTTTATGCCCCAGTTTTTGAAGTGGTGATGATGGAGCAGGGTTGAATCCTAGCTCAGCTGAATTCTGAGTTCTGTAGCCTTGTACAATTGTTCTTATATAGTGCTAGAGATGGAACTCAGAGCCTCCCACATGCTAGGCAAGTGCTCTACCACCGAGGTCGAACCCCAGACCATTTTACCAAATTGTAAGGCAGAAAGTGTTATTCCCCCAATACACACACACATACACACCACACCTAATAGACACTCTCTGAGTCTTTGGTACATTGACTGTTCTTGAAGCCCACATTTTTAAAACAAAAAACATTTATTTCAAAATACAGTGAAATGACATCATTGTTTGAAGCAGGTTTTACTAATAAACTGAAGTACTGGGACAGGATTCATATATATTTATAAAACTATGAATGTAGCTAAAGTGTAAGCTTATCCTTTTCTGCCTTGATGTCATCAATAGGAAACAGAGATATTTTGTGTTATGTAATTTATATTTAGAAGCCCAACCACTAGGCAAAGTATTTTTAAACCACATTAATTTCTTATGTTTCTGGTTAATGTAAAAAATGAATTGTTTGCTCCACCCTCATGCCCAACCCAGATACCAGAAATCTAATTTTCTAATGACATCATTCCTCCTCTGGTAACTGACTGTGATAGAGAATTCTAGGCCCATGAAGATCAGCAGCGCATGAACCTTAAAGGAACAAAATCTTGTTTTAAAGAATGAGATGTAGAAATGGTTTTGAGCAGTTATGATATAATTTAAAATACTAATATAACACCCAGAGTTACTCTGGATTTTCCAAGTCCTCTTTCTAAATGTAGCATTTACTTTGACAATAGTATTCTTTGGGATTCAGAATAGGCACGCGAGAGTATAGCCAAGTGCAGCTTCCTGCCAGTCCTTCCTGCAAGGACCAACTCCATGAGGACTTGGTGTAAGGGTGGCTCCTTTGACACCACCAATGCTTTTCTTCTTCTTCCTCTTCCTTCTCAGTCTGCCTGTGCTACTCTCTCAGCCCCCCTCTCCTATTGGACTCTGCAATGGTTGAACTTAATTGCAACTTGATGGGATCCAGAATCATCTAGAAGACAAGCCTTTAAGCATACCATTGAAGGATTATTTAGCTTCTGGGCATGTCTGTGGGGAATTAATTGAGGTGGGAAGAGCCATCCTAAAAGTGGGCGGATCTATTTCTCTGGGATGGGTCCTGGACTGCTTAAAAAGGAAGAAGTGAGGTGAGCATGACATTCATCATCCTGCTTCCTACCTACGGGTGATGCAATGTGACGGACGCCTCCAGCTACTCCTGCACTCATTTTCCTGCCTTGCTGGAGGATGACCGCAGATGGAGAGCAGAAATGGATCTTTTCCCCCTTAGACTGCTTTTGTCAAGGTGTTTTATCACAGCAATGGAACAAGAGATAAAGACAAGCTTCCCCCAGTCTTGTCACTTCATAAAGAGTGTCGGGAAGGTTTTCAGTGTTAAAGGCCTTGAACTGATTACTGGAACGATGAGAATTCTGAAGTTACACAGATGCTCTTTGCTTTCTGAATGAGATTCTGTATTCACTCCTGAAAGGGTTTTGCAGGCCCTGGGGTTGGGAGCAGCAACACAAAACTGTGGTTCTTGAAGGGAAGAAACTACAAAACTCACTGACAGTGCAAGTTTAATGATTATTTAAGATGCTATCTATTCTAATAATGTTAGAACAACTTGAGAGATTGTTTTTGTGAATGCTGTAAAGCATCTTGTAATAAATCTATAAAGCAATGGCACTGCTTGCACCCGTTCTTAATGAGATTAAGCTGTAACAGGAATATTTCCATCTTTCCCTCCTACTCAAAGCACTTCTTCCTTCAGCATTCTCGGAAAGCTTCCTATTTGCTGTTTGGTTATTGCTGTCACCTACTGTCTTGAAATAAAACTGCAGTGGGTTTGCCTTTTCCCAAGAGATTCCCAGTGTTGTGCACTTAAGTAGAAACAGTTATTGAAGAGTGTGATGGTACTCAAACTTTTCCTCAGAAGATTTTTGGTAGTACAGCCTTCTGAAATGGCCCGACAATAAGAGTAGCAGGAGAAATGGCAGACAGATTTGTTAACACACACGTACACTGAAACCCACAAATGGGCAGTTCAACTCAGATGGTTAAAGCTTAATACACTCCCCATAGGGGAGGAATGTAGGAGGAATATAGGTGTAGAGGGGTAGGAAATGACTTTAGAAGTGATGTGTAGTACAGAGAAGAGCTAATGGCCTGTGATAACATTCCTCCAGCCGTAGGCATGATGCCTGATTTTCAGTCTCATCTGTGATTTTTAACTTTTAATAAGAAGGTAGAAGGTGATTTTCTCCATCTTCAGTGGTTCGCTCTTTAAGTAGTGATGATGATTTCAGAGCTTCATCCAGTATCTGCTGACTCTGAAGTAACTTGAATATAAAATCTCAGCATCCCAAGATACTGTGTTTGGAGCTACTCTTTCCTCAGTGTTGAGAGGAGCAGCAGTTGTTCACAGCACTCTGAACTGAGTACGCCCTGGGAAAGATGATAGCTAGCCTACACGCTATTGCAGAAGATTTACACTGGGAAGCAGTGAGGGCTCGAGAGTCCTGGTGCCTGCTGTGCATTTGCCATCATGAGTTTGATATCTGTTTTTACTCATCCAGCTCATAAGCCTAGACTTGATGCTCTGAAATCCCATTCTAGATTCCACAGTTTTTGTTAGGCACTTAAGATACTAAATAGTCCTCCTGCATGATAGTTTATTACTTTGGATCAAAGTATATTATTTCTTAATATGACTCTGTTGGAAAGAGTTCCCGGTTTTCATTGTTTGAGAAGACAGCATTGCTACTTGGCTTTGCTCAGTTAGAAGACGCAGATCAGAAAGCTGTCCGTTGTTGATACTTTAACCAGAATAATGCTCCCCGGCTTGCTGAGTTATTTTTGTGCTACCGTAGTTCAATTTTGTGCTTGTAGCACATGCTACGATAGCAAGTCAGTTGTTCTACCTACACCGTTCTAGATTTCAGAACAATAACAAAAGTAGCCCACCAGTTTTGGCCCTTAAAAGATTTACAATTATACTATTTAATAATTATAAATTATTCATTCTTTATAACTGTTGTGGTTAAAGTAAAGTCAACTACACTTGAGACCTTGGTTTTCTGGTTTAATTTTTAATATCCTTTACACATGTGATTGCCAAGACACATGGTGGAGGGAGGAATGGGATAAAAATGAATTTAGACCTACTGTTATTGGCCTTTTAGATATTCTCCCACTTCAGGTCGGCATGACGCCTACCCATGGACTTTACTCTTTTCAGATGGGTATCCGTGAGCTGTTCAAGCCACCTTTACAGGATTTCGCAAGGAATATCTGAAGGCTCAGACTCCAGTGACAGACTTAGTTAAATAGAGAATACTATCCCTATCCTTCCAACTATTAATTTAGTATGGAAAAGGTACACCTATCAGTTTATTTGATTGTAGCAAACTGACCATAATTGTTATCTTCTTGTATCTGAAACTTTGATCTAGTAATTCGGTTTTGTTAAACATTGCTCTCAGTGCCCTGTTTGTTCTCCAGTTACCACTGCCGCTTTTCCTGAGTGAATCCCTGGTGAAGGTGTATGGCGGCTTCAGTGATTAAAGTTGAGGCTCTGTAGTCAGACTTCTGAATTTGAATTCTGGCATAGTTTGCCCTGTGATCTTGGCACATTCCATGTAAGTGCTGTGGATTTCCATTCCTAGGGTATAATTTAGAAATTACCTAGTGGGCTTGTAGCAGTTAAATGTAGAGAAATAGATAATGTATTTTGTGAGTTAATTAGTTTATGTAAAGTCAGGGATATTTCATCCATCTTGGGAATGTTCCTTATTTCGTGTTTGTCTTTGACTTTCTGAGTCTAGAGAAACCATTAATAACTGAGTATTCAAATATAGGACCTAATATGTATAAATGTGTCCAAATAGTCTGTAGTCTTACAGTGCCAGGCTGAGGTTAGATGATCATGCAGGGTGGGTTCAAGGAAACCCTTCCACGGACCGTTTATTAGAGATACTTGGTCTGATCCGCCCTCTTAGCTACCACAAGGAAGCCTCAAAGTCAGGCTCTCTAGAAATGGACACTGGACACTTGGTTGTGAAATAACTGATTCTTTGGGTTGGGAACCTTTCTCTTCCTACCAGGCTGTAAACCATGTGATATGAGAACCTGCCCTTTCTGGTCTCTAGCAGCATATACCTTGCCTCCAAGCTTGTGGCAAATATCTGTCACATAACTGAGTAAACTCTTACATTAGCATTCAACAGCCCGAGATATGAACTGGATATGACTTATTCAGGTCACACATTTTTGTGCCATGGCTGTAAGTGGACCCCAAGTTTGCAGTCTCCTGCACTGTGCCTTCTCTGCTCTCTATAGACAACATGAAGATGTAAAGAGTGGAAGTGATTGGCCTTGTCTACAGGTGACTAGTACAGAGGGAGAACACACGCTCCCGAGAGCTAGGTGGACAGGGAAAGACATGTAGATGGTAAGTACAGAAAGGCTTCCTGAAAGAAAGAGCATTTAAACTGGAGGATGAGTATTTTAGATATACCTTTAAATGTATCATTTTAGTCTCAATAAGTTAATCTCAACATTTCAGTACATTATTAAAATAAACGTGCTAGCTAACAATCTTGTCTTATTTCAGTGAACAATGTGGGGATGTCATACGAGTATCCGGAATACTTTTTAGAAATTCCTGACTTGGACAATGTGAGTCTTTCTTTGTTTATTATGGTAACAAAGGAATACATGAAAGTGTCGGTGAGACAGTATGGAAGATTGATTCAGATTGAGCATCAGAGTCCAGCTGTCTACAGCTCATAGCTTGGCTCTTGTGGGGTAGTTTGTTTATTTGCCCACAAATGTAAAGTAGGCAGCTTCATAGGAATGCTAGAAGGATTGAATGAAAAATATTTATAATGTCATTTATACAGTGCCGGGATCAATAATAACTGTAATTTTATTATTTTTATTAGATTAAGATAGCTCTATTTTAAGTATTGGGACATCAAAAATCAGTTTAAAAACTAATAAATATGTTAATATATAGAACATAGTTGATTGAAGTAAACTAGCTTTACCAAAATGAAAGCTGCACCCTTGATACATCCGTAATCCTTTAATGAGAACTAAGAAGTCACATCCTTGAAGGACCGTGACAGTTTTTAAGATCAAGTGAAACTCTTAACTCCAATCATCTCCACTTTCCCTATTAGTTGGGAGGAAATTACTAAGTGTTTTATTTTGGATTTAATGTGTCTCTTCACTTTCAGATTTGACTTGCTTATCCATAAGCTTACCTTACATTTTCCATATTAGTATGGATTGCTGCTTTTGTTACACATATTTTTACATTGAGATAAAGCAAAAATCTGTCTCTTGACTCCAGCTCCTACTGTAGTTATAGTTTTTTGCAATATCTAAAGAAACTGCAGATGTGTCCCCCCCAAAGTATATTTGTAACATCATTACTTTCTTAATAAAATTATATATTCCATTTCTTACAGATTATCAAGAAACTGATAAATATTAATGTTCTTTCTGTTTGCAAGGTAAGCAAATTTGTTAGAAATCTGTCATGTTTTTTAGCTCTTTCTGTCTAAAAAAAAAAAAAAACTGGTATGGAGTCTGTTGGCTCACTTCTGTCAACTCTTATTTACTGTGTGTATTCCAGGAGAATATGATCTGTCTCCAGGAAGGAAAAAAAAAAAAAAAAAAAAAAAAGACCAAACCTACTCATCTTAGTTTGCTTTCCAACATCCTAACAATTCTCACATGTCTTCTGTGCACATTCACCATGATAGGTACCAGGACTGATTGGAAAACCTTGTTTAGGTTAAAGGCTGATCGACCTGAGCCACTTGCTCATGCTGATTTGTTTCCATCCAGACGTATGTAGTAGTTCACTGCTGTATAGGAAGTCCAAACTGGTTAGCCTGTTAGCTCAGGCTTCTTACTAACTAATTCTTACATCTTAAATTGGCCCATTATTCTTATCTATGTTAGCTATGTGGCTTGGTACCTTTTTCAGCGAGGCATTTTCATCTTGCTTCCTCTGCGTCTGAGTGACAGTTGCAGACTGAGCTTTCCTCTTCCCAGAATTCTCCTGTTCTTGTCACTCTACCTCTACTTCCTGCCTGGTCGCTCCACCTATACTTCCTGCCTGGCTACAGGCTAATCAGTGTTTTATAAAATATAAGTGACAAATCTACAAAGTACAAGACCATTGTCCCATAACAAGAAACCAATGAGAGTAGTTTTTATTAGCTGTCCATAATAACCAACCAGGATTGCCTGGCATGGTGGCAAATGTCTTTCATCTCAGCACTAAGACAGAGGCAGGCAGAGCTCTGTGAGTTCAAGTACAACCTGGTCTACCTAGTGAGTTCTATGCCAGCCAGCACTACATAGTGAGAACATGTCTCAAAAACAAAACAAAATAAGTACAACAAAGATATCCAGCCTGGGGCTGAGTGATAGTGGTTACTCATTTAATCCCAGCACTCGGAGTCAGAGGCAGGTGGATCTCTGTGAGTTCGAGGACAGCCTGGTCTACAACATGAGTTCCAGGACAGCCAGGGCTGTTACACAGAGAAACCCTGTCTTGATAAACAAAAACAAAAAGATATCCATCCTGGTTATCAACATAACATAACATAGTTGCTCAACGTATGTTGTAGTCATATTGAAAATGAATGAAATTTATGCCCTGGCAATGCAGAAGCAGGCATGGGCAGCCTGTATATGGAGGTTCTGTTGAACCTGTCCGTATTGGGTTTCATGTTCTAAGTTGATGAGGATGACTGGCTAGGTCTCTTCCTCAGGAGGGCACCAGTTCTTATTAGAGATGGTTGTGAGCCACCATGTGGTTGCTGGGAATTGAACTCAGAACCTCTGGAAGAGCAGGCATGCTCTTACTTCTGAGCCATCTTTCCATATTACTCAGTGTGTAATACAAGATTACACTACGACTCTGTGGAAGGAGCAGTAGAAAGAAAGTATAAAAACCTAAGTTCTGCTCGAACAGAAATAGTGGAGGTTCCTACTGAGTCACAAACCAAATGAGGGGCAGTGTTGCCAGAGGCTGAAGTCCCATGAGTGGTGTCAGACACCTTAAATCTGAACATATTTGTAGAAAGCCACTATTCTTTGAATAACTCGTATATATACTAGTTTAGGTAAGGAAATAAAAAATAGTTTGAGTCAGAACTATTCAAAGTGAAAAGATAAATATAAGTAAGAATTAAATGTTTCACTTTGTGGTGGGAAAAACTTAGTGTTTTTCTCTATTCTGAATTTTTGAGAAAAACTATCTCCATGTCTTCATATTCCAAGAGAAATAAGCAATGACCCTCACATGACAGGTTTTAAGTCCAAGAATCTAGTACTATTACACCTGGCCTGACTTTTCATGTATGACTTTGATTTCCCTGTGTAATGTAAATGGTTAGATGTGTTAATTCAGTGTTTACAGATAAAGAATGTTGGTTTATTACTTAAAAGATCACTCAAATGTATTATGTGGCAAAATGGCAAATATTTTTGTTCGATACTACACTGTATCTTTTCCCTTGTTATGATCAAGGGTCCTTCCCCCACTCCTTTGTGTGGTGTGTGTGTGTGTGTGTGTGTGTGTGTGTGTGTGCATGTGAGTGCAGTTTGGCTTTTATATAAACTGAAGTTTAAGCACGCAGATGATTAACCAGTGGAGATGTGAGTAGATGAAGACCAAGACCCATATTTGTCAAACTGGTGCCTTTGCTAATAGGAATATATTAAATAGTTTTAAGGGCATTTTCTTTACCAGATTCATATAAATGTTCATTCTTTAACAACCTCTCTAGGATTTCAGTATAATTAAGGAACTACCATTTTTAGCCATTTTAGTCTTGGGGTAAATTACTCTTCACTTTACTTTTCATCTGTAAATTGGAGATGATATTTCTTTACCTCAGTGACTTGTTTGAATGAAACAAGGTAATAGCTCTAAAACTCACAGTTGGGGATGTAGAGTGCTTGCTTAGTAGGCGCAAAGCCCTGGGTTCAGTCCTTAGAACTTCATAAAACCAGATATGCTTGTGTGTACCTTAGGAAGCAGAATAAAAGGTAGGAGGACCAGAAATTGGAGGTCATTCTTGGCCAGGTTGAACTACATGAGATCCTGGAGAGAAGGTCAAAGAGGAATAAAGAGTTAGACACACAGACAGACAGACAGACAGAAGGGGTGGGAAAGAAAGGAGAGGGAGAGAGAACCTAAAAATGTTATTATTGCTATTAAACTCAAAACTGATACTAATTATTAAATACATGCAATAATGGTCTTTTTTTTTTAGAAAACAAAGGTTTTAAATAGAAATTAATATAAGACTCTTCCTTCCTTTCTTCTTAGTTTTTTTAGACACGATTTCTCAGTGAAACAGTTTTGACTGTCCTGGAACTTGATGTGTAGACCAGATTGGCCTTGAACTCACTGAGATCTGCCTGCCTCTGCTCCCCAAGTGCTGGGTTTCCTTTTAAAATGAATGGTATTGCTGCTGTTCTGATTTTTTTTTATGGTGCTTGAAACTAATGACTATGAAGGCAGTGTGAGGTGTTTCACAGTATGCTGTCCTAAGTTAATGAGAAAGCCTTGTGCGAGTGCTTAAGCTTTATGTTGTAGAATTCTTAGTTCCAGCTATGGGCTTGTCTGCTGGACTTGTTCCACTCAGTCAGCTGTGTAGGGTTTTATTCTGGATCCCCATCTTTTCTCTTGTAGTCCTGCCCGCTAACATTTCATTGGTGACACTGCTTTAAAATGCTGGCCTCCTGTTTCCCACACCATGAAGTTTTGGGCTAGCCATCTGTAGAATACTAACGATAATAGGCCAAGGTTCTGCCCTTAATTCTGGAGCTTGTTCTACTCCGTGGCCACAGACTGTGTCCTTCACACAGCTTCCTAGCACATAATCAGCATGTGATCCATCTCATCCTTGCCTAAAGACCAAACAGTGCTTGTGTGTGTCATGGATAAAATAGCACAAATCTAACAGCCCTGCAAAGTGTCTAGCCCATTTTTTAAAATGATGACAAACACCAGGGGTCCTACCTGTTAATCCTACTCTGTGGGAGTAGGTGAGGTGATTGTAAAGATCATGTAAGCCCTGCATTATAATAGTAAATTAATCCTGAACTCAAAAGAATTTCAGGTTATGGCTGGATAAAGAGATGATCCAGGCGAATATTGGGGAAGAAATATCAACCGGAGCAGCTGTGACCACACACCCCTCGTGTTTAATAGTAAACAGCTCTCCCAGGCTATTTTTGAAGTATTATTTTGTTTTGTGTGTGTGTGTGTGTGTGTGTGTGTGTGTGTGCGCGTGCCCATGTGCCCATCCCTGCCTGAGTTTATGTGTATTCCATGAATGCAGGAACCCGCAGAAGCCAGAAGAGGGTGTTGGATTCTCTGCACTGGATGGTTGTAAACCACCATGTAGTGGCTGAGAACCAAACCTAGGTCTTCTGCAAGAGCAGTAAGTGGTCTCAACCACTGAGCCCTCTGTCAGTCCTGGTTGCTTCATCTTTAAATCTTGTTCCATGACTTGGGTGTTTTTTCATTAGTCTTTAAAGTCTTGTTGCTTGCTCTTCCAGTACTGCTCTCAGATCCTTTAGGGATTAAATTTAGCCTTGTTTTTGTTCCCTGTATAGCAGGTAAGCGGTAGAAATTCTTGAGAGATAGGCTGTATGGCAGATAGATCAGACTTGAAGAGAAGTCCTACCAGGTAGTGATTCCCCCAGTTTCCGATGTTCTGTGACTAAAATCTTGGGTAGACCTCATCAGAACAATGACTTTCATTCCAAATATAGGTGAATTAGGAACAGACGTGAGGATATTGAGCCTGCCTCATGTCAAATAGTTCCTGTTTTGTGCCTGGTGGGATTTCCTTCCCTAAATATGGAGAGTTTACAAATGAAATTGTTCAACTGCTATTGATTACTGCCTGGAAAATGGGAGTAGAGCCACAGCTCCAGAGTCCTGCAAATGGAAGGCTAGCTTCTGACTGTATGGGATTCTATAGCAATCCATAGGCAAAACTCATCCTGTTTGTACCGCTTCTTTCTGTTATTTTCACTGTCTCCCATTTGAGGTTCTCTTCCTCTTTCAAACTGTACTTGTCCTTAATTCTTGAAGTCATTGTCTTAGGACCTCAAGAAAAGATGGACACTTCTCTCCTTTCCAGACGAGCACTGTCCACATGATAAACCTTAACTCCTCACAGTCCCTGCGTAAGGAAGACGAAACATTCCTTTTTATGGTCCTCACCCCTGAAGCTCCTACGGGCCTTGGTAAATACAGTAAAAGCTAGAAAATCAAGGCTTCCATCCTCACAGAGGGAATATTCTAACCTTCGTAATTACCTTCCTTAGAACAGAGAAGAAGATGTATGGTGCTATAGCCCAGGTAAAATTCATGAACACCTCCACTTGAGTAAAGACTATTGCATTTTGGTATTTGCTTTGTTGAGGAATAGAAAGGAGCAGTCTCAAGTCAAGAATAGAAAGTTGGCTGTTCCTT